CACCACAACTCTCTGGGGTTGGCCATCCACGCAGTTTTTTACCCAGCGAAGAGTACTCCTGTCTAAGCCATGAGCCACCAGCTTCTCTAGGACATAAAACTCTTAACTGAGAATATTAGATTATCATCCATCCCTATCTTGGTACGTTATGAAGGAACTAGAAATGATCAAGCATGATACTGCAGTAAACATGTCTAAATTCTGGCAACTATACTTATGACTTTCTGACCCCCATGTAAACATAAACTATACCATTTTGCATCAATTACTCATTATAACCTTTTTAATTAGCTGTGTACCAGTTTTTCCTGAAACCTCTGTATACTAGAAACTATGTTTAAACAAAACTGTAATGGAAAAATATTTATCTTGAGGATTTGTATGTTTGAATTTAGACAGATGTAAGTAAAGACAGTGCTAAGCAGTACTGCAGTCCTACTATATACACACACTCACGGAATCTTACAAGTTTTAATCTGTTTCTTACATAAACCAAAAATAGTCATATCCACTGCAAAATCTCTGTGTAACACCACGCAAGTTTACAAGGTGCTATGTCAACATCCTTTTCCTTGGAAGTAGTCTCTTCCATTAATTTAATGCCTTAATTTCTGTAACAGCACTATTTCCAAAAATAATGTTGACTCATCTAATGAAGCACTACACCAGGATGAGCTAGCAGGAGACAAAAGGACCAAGGGCAGAGAAAAAGCAGTAGCCTCCAGGATGAAAACAGAACGAAGACTTCGATTCCACAGAAAGATACAGTCTGCTTCCTACAACCTACGTAATTCCACGGGCTTCACAGGAATTGAATTTAACATGATTAAAAGAGAAAAGGTCTGTTTTTAATTCAAAGAAGTGAAATAAAGTGATTTACAAAAGTCTCCACAATAACTATGTGTCATGTTTTGAAGATCCAAATGCTACTTAGGCTAGCCATTGTTCTCTTTACAGTAATCCTTTTTCAGGTTTTAATAGCTAGTTCTAAAAATAAAACATGTTAATAAAACACCATCATAATTCCCATCTTTGTCATATCCCAATGTATTTTACACCAAAACAATGCAACTAGTAAATAAATGTTTCTAGCCATAAAATCACTTGCAAGTCAAAATCTGTAACAGCTACACATACAGAATATATCATGCCAAATTACCATCCACTACTATTAACTATGACAAAAATACATATGAGATATCTCTATGGGAGGGACATCTGAATGCTTCATTTTCAATAGAATGAAAGAGTTAATTGCTGAGAGCTCTCCACAATTCTGTTTAAAAAAAAGTTTCTCTTGCTAAATTAGACCAAGCCTTGAGCCACATCACCATTTTCTGAGCCTCTGTCCAACATGCTTTAGTTATTGGCAATGCATTTAATCCTCCTCTGTTTGCACAGAAATTAATCTATGAGTCTGGCAAGAAAAGAGGTATTTCAGAATGAATGCCAGAAGATAATTTATAGAACAGCCAATTCTCAGGTCCTAACAAACCAGTTGTGTTATACTGCCTCCCAGTGCACAGAGTCTGCCTGAAGCTCAAATGAAAAAGGTTGAAGAACCCATTTTAGACATGGAACTACTAATAATTCCCACAGGAATTACAACTATCTTAGACCCTGTTCTCAAAAGCATTTAAGTTGTTTCGAAAAACTCTAGACAGAAAATAATACTGAACTGTGGGTCTAGAGAACAAGCCTTATAAGGAGCGGCTGAGGGAACTGGGGCTGTTTAGCCTGGAGAAGAGGAGGCTGAGGGGAGACCTCATTGCGCTCTACAACTACCTGAAAGGAGGTTGTAGCGAGGTGGGGGTTGGTCTCTTCTCCCAAGTAACAAGCGATAGGATGAGAGGAAATGGCCTCAAGTTGTGCCAAGGGAGGTTTAGACTGGACATCAGGAAAAACTTCTTTACTGAAAGAGTGGTCAGGCCTCGGACCAGGCTGCCCAGGGAAGTGGTAGAGTCGCCATCCCTGGAAGTATTTAAAAGACGCGTAGATGAGGCGCTTAGGGACATGGTTTAGTGGGCATGGTGGTGTTGGGTTGATGGTTGGACTTGATGATCTTAGAGGTCTTTTCCAACCTTAATGATTCTATGATTCTACGGTTTCATTTCACTTTTAATAAAGAAAAATTGCAAAAGTAAAAATGAAAACTAGGCAAATTCATGTGGTGGACCGCTTTTTTATTGAGTACTTGGTACAACATCTCGTACAAGAGTGTCTTGGAACAAACGAGGCTTTCTAAATCATAGATAAAAACTCATTGACAAAACCCAAGAATTTTACAGCAGATAAAATTTCTCTAGGAAAAGGAAGAAGCATTTTTGTATTTTATATATAAGGTGACCCAAGCCAATGCGTTTCAAAGTCAAAAACAAACATAGATATCTCTGTGGGCCTCATATCATGTTCTGAAACACTAGTACTTAGAGAATTCAGTCCTCCAATGCTGACCAGTCAAAATCCTAGTAAAAGTAATTTCATAACTGTGTAAGTCAACATCCCAAAATGTTCATATCTAGCACCCTATTTTTTTAATCAGTAACAAACACATCAACACTGACATTCAGCATTTGTAATAGTCTAATACAGACATTTAGTAAAGAGGCTTAAATTCAATGTAATCGCAATTTCCGATTCTTTCACAGACAATGAACACACAGCATTGCAGAAAAGATTTAAAAAAAAAAAAATCATTTAACAAAACCTACAGTTGAATTTTACTGGGAGAAAGAGGCAGGTGTACTTTCTAACATTTTTAAGATTAGCATTATTCTTTCTCGCTCTTAAAAAAGTAATAGGGTCGTTAAGCTGAAGTACAGCTTAGCTAACTTGAGGCAGTTTGCTTATAAGACAAGTCACACCCCTGAAACTAAAAGCAAGTGCATCAGTCTAAAATGAGTGAAGCAAATGAACTTGATTTGCTCATTTGGACAGCATGGAAGAATCACAAAAATGCACAACCTACAATCTAACCCTCAAAAGATGCTGTTTACAAAAACACCATCACAAGCCAAGTTTTTAAGAGACGTTGGCAGAATGTTTGTAATTTAGCTATAGACATGCAGGTAACTGATCCCTTTTGTTTAGGGGAACTAATTAAATGAAAACAGTTCAGCTTTACAAATGAAAGGGAAGAAGGGGAAACACTTACAGCAGTTGGATCCTTCAAATGTAGCTGAGTTGCTGTCACTTGTTTGAAACCACCAGGATAGCTAGAAAAACAGAACAAGCATACAAGCTTAATGCTATATGCTCAAGCACAATGTTGACACAAGTATCACTACATCTTGAACAACAGTGTAATGGTATTATAAGCCTTCAAAAAAGGAAATTGTTCTCATGAGGCCAACAACTATACTTTATTAGAAAGATACTATCCTGTCAAATATCTAAGTTTAAGACCATTTGTACTTTCTTATTTATTCACTTGAGTATTAAAAAGTTTGTGTTTCACAAGCAGATGGATATGTTTTTAAAACTGCATACTAAATACACCATCACAGCTACAGACTACAATGCAAGTAAGATATGCAAAACTTGGAAATATTTCAAGATGATCAAGACTCACAACCAGTTTGTGGCTGACATACGAGACAACCATTTTGAACAGTATTTATTATTTTCTTACTATTTTAAATAAACCTTAGCTTGAATTGGCATATCTACAGTAATAAAATTTGACTTTTACTGCAATGCATCCATGTTTTTAAAGTCTATGTGATATGGTGAAGTTGCACTAATTCACATTTATGCATATACTTTAAATGAATGATGCAGTGGTGCAAGAAATTACACAGACGACAGGTAAAGCTGAGTTTCATTTTGATTTAATTACATTATTAGGAATCAACCTAAGTGAAATGAAAATAAACCCAACATCATTAAAACATGCCCACTTAGGGAGCTGCACAGATTTAAGTATTTATTTTAATTGTACAATTCTTTTCACTTACTCAAAACCAACTTAGGTACTTATGCCAGTGCTTACACAGAAGTTTTTAGTGAAAATTTTTAAGAAGTTGTAGGTGTGGGGGAGAAAAAAAAAAGGCATTAATTTCCATCAACTCTGAACAAGAACTTCTCAGCAATTCAGCAAAGGAATTTCAGGGTTGAAATACTAGCAAAATTAGCTTTCTCAATGTGATTTATTCATCTCCCAACTGGATACATTTTAACACCTAGAGATTATTACCTAGTGTTGTCATTGTATAAAATAGGAGCAACTGTTCTTATTTGACTAAACAGATCATTGCCATACTGTCTGTAATTGATTATTGCACTTCCGTCTGTAAACAAGTTATGTCTGACAGAATAATATATTGTACACTATTGTATACATAAATACATCTTGAGAGCATTTAATTTCTTACTAGTTTTTCCAATTTCTTTTTTTTTTTCCCATCCTCTGATCCAGTAATATATCAATCTTGATATTTACTGTTAGGTAAATAGGTACTGGTAGGATAAAGTAATTGAAGTTGGCAACCGTATATATCTTAAATGTGCTGTGCCAATAGGAATGTCCTCTACTGCTTAGCAAATAGAATAGATGATTGGGTTCATGGTTCACACAAAATAACCTGGCTCACCAAATCTGTTAACTGACTCAATTGCTCTGACTACTTTTGAGTTAGATTATTTCCCTAACAACATACACTGGGGAAAAAAAAAAAAAAACAAAAACAAAAGAAAAGAAAAGAAAAAAAAAAAAAGAAGAAAAAGGCTTGCATCATTTTAAACATCGTAACACATGCAAACAAAAACCAAAACATGTAAGCAGGAATTCCTTTTTGAACCAATATGCTAAAAAAGACAAAAGTCTTGAACTATTAAGAAAATATGACACTAAATTTACCACTAGCTCATTTGAATATTTATTATAAAGCTTACCCAGTATGTGAAGAATATACTTTCTGTTCCCATTTGTTACCAGAGAAGGCAATATGTCTTGTATTTATTATGACAACATGATCTCCGCAGTCACCTACAAAGTAGAAATTAGTGGAAAACATTAAGAGAACCACAGGGGTAATCAACCAAAATAACAACTATAAAGTGTGCAATACATACGTAGCAGCACATAAATACACATTTCATAAAGCTCAGCTTTAAAGATCTGAGCTTTTTGAGTCACACCATCCAAATCTGCACTTAAATACCAACCTTAATTACTATTTTTATTAGTACTATCAGGTTAGAAGGCAGGTAAGTAGGTAAAATACCATCAGACTAGATAATTAAACCATTGCAATTATTCAGCTAAGATCTGGAAATCTGGCTTACAGGCAAATGTATTATTTTATTCAACACATCCTGCTGCATATGCACCTATGTTTCAAAAAACCCAGAATAAAAGAAGGTGAGTTCTAAACAGTGATCCTAAATATTTGTCTAATTTTAGTTTTCTCATAAAAACAGTGTTTTCTCGAGGACTGAATATTTTGGATAAGTAAAATAATTCTATTAAATAATTACAGCCTAGGGCTAAATATCAAAAAGAAACAAAAAGATGGGGGGGGGGAGGGAGAGGGGAGAAAAGCCCCACAAAAAAACTGAAACAGCCCTTTTGGGAAAAAACCCCCCACATTTTCATCAATCAAGCAGAAGTGAACATTACAGCACATACAGATACGTTAAGTGTTGTATCAGCAACTTTCATATCAAAAGTTTTTAAAGTGCAAAGTCTATAATCTATCACCAATACCTTGCCAGAAAGTAACTTTAATAGATCTTCTTAACTAATAAAGTGCTAATAAAACCCATACTATCTCAAAAATATCATGAAAATACAAAAAAAGATGTAGTTTTTCATTTCAGAAGTAATCATCTTGATCAGCTGTATAAGCTATAACCACCCATTCAATCAATTGCAAAATGATTTGTCCAAAGTTCATCCTCATATGCATTACCATATTAGAACAACGTAAGTATTAGAAGAGGCTCATTTGATTAAAACATTTTTGAGTAGGTAACAAAGCAGCTACACTAAGAAGGACTTAAATTGAGCATGCATTTTTTACAGAAGCATAGAATTAATCAATGGAAGTTTCACACCCTACTTAAGTTTTCTACCTTTTTTAACCTTGTGTTCTTTTAAAGCTCTACTTTCAACTACAGCTAAAGTGCAAACGCAATTTAAACATCGTCATTGATGCAGCCTTTCACCACTGACAGGTCAGTTCTAAAAACACTGTATGTCTAAAGGCATGTCAGGGAACTGACACTGGACTTGTGCTTTTTTTTTTTTCGTTGGGAAGATGACAGAATAAGCTCATCTAAGGGAATTTTTGCCAACAGTTCTCCACTTGCATAAACACTGAATTAACAATTCCATACACCAATAGATCAATTACGAACAATTAAAAGCCAGGAGAAAAACTAACCAGGATACTTACACGCTCGCTACCTGAATAATGAGTGCAACCTGTTCTTTTTAAAGTAGATTGAATTTATGGATAGCTAATGTCTCCTTCAAAATTTCAAATTAATACATTATTTTCCACTGGTCTTCAAACAGTGTTGTACCCATCACCTCAGGGATGGCTGCACTTAAGAGGAAGAAAGCTAAAATATTTACCATCTCCAAAAACACAGCCAAATTGCATCCTACTTTTGAAAAATATTCACAAAATATCACGGAAGAAAACTCTTCCTTTAGGCTACTTTCATAGAATCATAGAATAGTTCGGGTTAGAAGGGACCTTTAAAGGTCATCCAGTCCAACCCCCCTGCTGTGGGCAGGGACATCTTCAACTCGATCAGGTTGCTCAGAGCCCCATCCAACCTGACCTTGAATGTTTCCAAGGATGGGGCATCTACCACCTCTCCGGGCAACCTGTTCCAGTGTTTCACCACCCTCACTGTAAAATATTTCTTCCTTACATCTAGTCTAAATCTACCCTCTTTTAGTTTAAAACCATCCCGCCTTGTCCTAATCGCAACAGACCCTATTAAAAAGTTTGTCCCCACCTTTCTTATAAGCCCTCTTTAAGTACTGAAAGGCTGCAATAAGGTCTCCCTGAAGCCTTCTCTCCTCCAGGCTGAATAACCCCAACTCTCTCAGCCCTTCTTCATAGGAGAGGTGTTCCATCCCCCTGATCATTTTTCTGGCCCTCCTCTGGACCCAACAGGTCCATGTCTTTCTTGTGCTGAGGACCCCAGAGCTGGACGCAGTACTCCAGGTAGGGTCTCACCAGAGCAGAGTAGAGGGGCAGAATCACTTCCCTCGATCTGCTGGCCACGCTTCTTTTGATGCAGCCCAGGTTATGGTTGGCCTTCTGGCTGCGAGCGCACATTGCCGGCTCATGTCCAGCTTTTTATCCACCAGTACCCCCAAGTTCCTTCTCGGCAGGGCTGCTCTCAATCCCTTCATCCCCCAGCCTGTACTGATACTGGGGATTGTCCCGACCCAGGCGCAGGACCTTGCACTTGGCCTTGTTGAACCTCATGAGGTTCACACAGGCCCACTTCTCGAACTTGTCGAGGTCCCTCAGATGTGTCAACAATTTTCATGCTATAATATCGAATTATTCTTTTATGAAGTATGTAAGTATGTTTTCCTCAAGAAATACACAAAAATAACGCCAGTATATTGTATTACATTATAGTATATGCAATTTGTTACATACAGCGTATACATTGCACCTCTTCAGATAAAACTAAGCTGCTACAGTAAATCCATTTTATATCCCTGTATGTTTATAACTTCAGTAATTCCTACCATACAGTAAAAACACATGCTCCAGGTACATGTATTTTTCCTCCTACATTTTAATTAAGGACTAAATGGTAATTAAAGGCACATATTGTCAACTGTTAGCTCACAAGACTGACAAAGTACTTGCCAAATCTTTCATCAGAAGATAAGCCTTCGCTGCTTCTTTTAGGTATTACAAACTAACACTGCAATCTAGAGTAACACCTGGGCCAGATCAGGTTTGCGGGACGCTTCCATCCAGCCTAGTCTTCTCCCTCGAGGATGCAGAGAACAGCAGCAAATCCTACCCAAGCAACAGAAATGGCTCACCTACACCTGCTCACAATCCAACATAAAGAACCAGATCGCCCAATTTTTTAATAATCTGCCCCCCTATTTTTGGTTCTGTATTGTGAAGCTGCTCACAAAGATAGGATGCAAGTGGATGAGAGTAGAGAGAAGAGGAGGTACAGAAGAAACCTAAAAATCCAGATTCAAACCTCCTGAACAAGGTTGTACCCCCTAATTCAAGGCATATGGTCTAACAGCACCTAAAAATATGAGACTCTAGAGAATAATGAAAAATTATCCCTAAAACAGAAAATAAATACACATGAAATCAAATTTCCTTCCTTCCCTAACCACAGTTTAAATTCAGCTCCAGATACTTTTCAACACAATAAATAAATAATGATTTTACGGAAGGGTATCTGGATACCAAATTAAAAACAAAACAAAAAATCTCCACGATGTTATTTTGTCTAAGGAACTGTTATCTCACAGACACTAAAATATTTCTTGTTAGTTCAGGGGAAAAAAAAAAAGAAAAAAAGGAGTGTTAAGTAATCAGCCACAAATTCATGCATACTTTGCTCTCTTAGAGAGTATCAAATGTCTCAGTAGTCAACGTCAATCTCAGGTGTAATTCATTTGGTACTGATTTATAGAATACTTTAGACCAAATAAAGTTATCCTTGAAATGACTTTCCAGGATTTTATAATTTCATGGACATATAAGTATCAAAGATCTTTCCCACAGGACAACCAAAAACATTTCCTCTCAGTGTCTGCTTTATTTTTCAGACAGCCTTAGTCTCCACTGACATCTTGTGGATAAGACATAATTTGCAACAGCAGAACTCTGGTATTTAAAACATCTTTAGAACAGTACAAATACTACCTACTATTATGAAAAACAGATCAAGTATAATTTTAGTATGTACACTCTACATGTATGAGCAAAGTTTAATGCTTCCTTTTTGTTTCAGTAATGTCTCTTGAAAAATTTGCATGAGTATTACAGGAAACATTGCACCATCAACATGAGGGATCACCTTTTTATTATCTATAAAATCTTATCACTGCAAGACAGGCACTACAGTATTACAAATAATGAACAAGGTCACAGATCTTATTGCTGAATCTTCTAATTCGAAAAAAAGCAAAATGATTTTTTCATTTAAACAAGAAGATATCTTTCAACAATGATTACATCTCCCATTTAAGAATCAGACGGGTTCCAGCCTCATTATCATAGAGTGTCTGAGGTTGGAAGGGACCTCTGGAGGTGATGTTGCTCAAGCAAGACCAGCTTTTGAATATCTCCAAGGATGGAGACTCCACAACCTCTCGGGCAACCACTTCCAGTCACCCTCACAGTAAAAAAATGTCTCCTGATATTCAGAGGGAACCTCCTGTGTTTCAGTTTGTGGCTGTTGCCTCATGAAGACAGGACTTCTCTGCACCTTATTCAGAATAAAGAACCACTCCAAGACTCTGTGGTGTTGTGCAGCTACTGAAAGGTAGCATTCAGAAAATCTAAGCAAGAATCACATCAGTGTTTCATTATGTGCACTGTGAATTAAATCTTTACACCTAAAATCAATGCAACGAAACACATTTCAAGGTTTTTAAAAATTGAACGCACAACCCACCGTAATTCAGCTACTAAAAATAAATTATGAATTCATAATGAGTTTCATATGGATTGGTAAAGACAACGACATAAGGTAGTAGAGGGGTATGAAGGCAAAAGATGAGAAAGAAAACTAAGACATTTGTAGTTTACAAACAATTGAAAAACGTAACCTTATGTATCAGGCTTGATTTTAAAACTGAAATCAGAAGAAAAATATGAGTGAAGGAAAGCAAACTTGTTTTTAACTACTGCAATACTCACTTAGTGCATGATAAATAGGTTTATGCCTGCCTTCAAGTCTGATTACGGTCGCAGCTGCTATTTTTCCTGGTGGCTGCATCTTCGCATCGAGGAGATACCAGGCTCTGGCAAAAGTAGCCCATTGCTAAAGAGAAAGAGAGGTAGTACTTAACATAGTAAAAGAACACACATAAGTCTAGCTTCTCTAATTAGATCAACACTTTTTTTACACTCCAAAATACTAGAAAAAATATTAATATTCAACAATACCCCCTCCAAATAGCCTTTAAATGGATGGAGAACACCGCTACACACTGCGATACCCCTGCTGCTGTATGTGCTTCCAACGTATGTGGCGGTAACAACACTGAAAGGTTACCAGCTCTGAGGGTTTTGTTTCAACAATTACGATCTCTTGCTGCAAGCTGCCATTATTGCTAATTGAACTGTAAAATCGCTGTAGACTATTTAATACCCAACATCTCTATCTTTCTCAGTGGAGGGCACAACTCCCCCAAACGCAGTTTTATGAACACGAATCACCTGAGCCGCCCTCAGTGAGTAGCCTTGTTCCTCACAGACAAGTCACACACCACTGACCGCTACCGG